CAAAGACCCGATTTTGAATTGCGCACTTCTTTGTATGTAAAAAAAAAATCTTGAAAATGAGGTCGATTTTGGCCGTAAAAGGTGTTATACCCCCTTAATTTAACGTCTAGAAAATTAATGCACCAGCAAGACATACGCGACGCTAGCGGCCTCTTTTGACGGCATTTATTTTATAAACCATGATTTTTCAAAAACAAAAAATATGTTTAGTGTCTTTAATATGTAAATAAAAAAGCCCAAAGACCCGATTTTGAATTGCGCACTTCTTTGTATGTAAAAAAAAAATCTTGAAAATGAGGTCGATTTTGGCCGTAAAAGGTGTTATACCCCCTTAATTTAACGTCTAGAAAATTAATGCCGTTTTCATCGTCAAAGTCAACAGTAAATCTAAGCCTTTCATGATATGAGTTAAATAATTCCAGAACTCCTTTAACCTTTTCTTTATGCTAACACAATATCATCCACATAACGAAAATAAAAAGATGAGATAATATTATTCGCAGTAATAATTTCTTGTTCTAAATCTTGTAAAACTATGTTCGCTAATATAAGGAATAAAGGAAAGCCCATTGGTATGCCAAAAATCTGTTTAAATATTTTTTTATCAAATTTAAAAAATGTAGAGTTAATTATAATCATAACTGCATTAATAAACTTATGTAAAGGAATCGAAGTCTTATTTTCAATCAAATTCCATCTACGTTCAATGCTTTTTAATACTAAATCTGTCGGAATGTTCGTGTACATGGAGACCAAATGATATAATACTAAAATTTTTATCGATTACCCTTCCATTGAGTTTATTTACTAAATCAAAACTATTTTTTACGTAACTAAAATTATTTTTATTACAATTGTCTATAATTTCTTTTAAGAAGGTCGCCAGTGGATAAAAAGCACTGTTAATGCAGTTAACTATCAATTTTAGAGGATGACCTTCCTTATGAATTTTTGGCAGTCCATAAGAACTCGGAAGTTCGCCATCAGATACAATATATAATTTTTTGTATACGTTTAGATCAATCCCTTGTTTTTCCAATTTTTTAGTAAGTTACTAATTTCCAATGTTATTTTATTAGTGGGGTCTTTATTTATTAATTTATATGTAGTCTGATCATTGAGAATCTTGTACATTTTCTCCCTGTAACTTTCCCGATTCATAATTACGGTGATATTACCTTTATCCGCTCTTGTGATTAGAATATCAGGATTCTTTGAGATAAATTGCTTAACTTCCCTTACACCTTCATATATAATTTTGTTCTCGGCCGAATCAATGTCACAATTATTAATTAATTTAAGAATTTGGAATGTTTCGTTCCTGACAATTTTTACTTACTTCATCGTCAACTTTGACGACAGACACGTTGAATAGATTGTGTTCAACGTGTTTGATGAACTCACGTATAATTCTTTCTTTGATGACATTATTAGGCAAATTAAATTGCTGACCTAATTGCAATACAACTTTGGCTTTTTCTGAAATTTCAATATTACAAAGATTTATAAGCCATTGTTCGTTAATATTTACTATGTTAAAATTTGTATTAAAATTGTCAGGATCAATATTAATATTATAAAATGATTGTACTTTATTAGACTTCGTATTTTTAGTTGATATTTTTTTTAATATCAAAGGTGCACAAAAAGTATCGTTATCCATCTCAGAGTCCGCAATTTGTATTATATTATAATTAATGTTCTTAATTTTCGATCTTTCTCTGGAAATCTGTTTAGCACGCAAGTTGATGATTTTTTTATTGATTCTGTTCTGTTCCCTTCGCCACATTATGTCAAAATTAATTTCTTTCTTCGAAAGAAAGAATGAGCTATGTTATTCGGTAAAATTTTTTCTATTTGTCTACATCTCATGCTAAACATTTCGAATTTTATTTGCTCATGATATTTATAAGCGTCTTGTAATTCTACCCGCAAATATTTAAAAATAAAATTGTATTTAAGTCTGTCAATTCTTTCTTTCGAAGAATGAATCGTCTTATGTTGGCCAAACTAAAAGGAAATTAAAAAATTGTATAAAAGAACAAAGGCTGACATAAAAAAACCCACTTCCGAGATCAGTGGTTTCACGTCACCGGTTGAATGAGATGCATGAATTGGATTGCATAACATAAGAATTTTAGATACAGAACAATCATTAATGAAAAGAAGAATTTCTGAAATGATGCATATAAAAGGCCAAATAAGTGGTATCAAGTAAAGTGACACGGAAGGTTTGTTTGATGTTTATTTTCCTCTTCTAAAGAAAGATCTCTCTCTCATTTAATAAATAATTCTAGAACTTTCCAAACTGTTGACTCATAT